TAGCAGCTTGCATCCCGAAGCCTGGGGCGCGCTGAGTAGCGAGCCCCGGGCTTCGGGCAGAGTTCCCGCCGGGCTCCCAAGGCTTGCAGATAGCAACCTGTTCTGGGGGCTGGGGTCGGGGGAAGCTCGGGCTTCCCCCGCCCCAGCCCTGCTCCTGGGGGGGGAAATAATTTTTTTTCTTTATTCCCCCCCCCAAAAAAAAACTAGGTGTGCCCTATAGGGTGAAAAATACGGTATCTGATTCTGTCTTGTAAATCTTAGCCAACCTACTCAGAATTAAATACCATCTATGAATCATTTTCAAATAGTTCCCTTTCAAAGAATAACATGCTGTAAATTTCAAGTCGCTTTTCCAAAGTTCCTCCCAGAGGTTAAGATCTATATTGTGTCCTATATCTATTCCCCAGTGCGTCACTGAAGCTTTAACTAGGTCGTCTTTTGTTTCCCATTCTAATAATATCTTTGTCATTTATACACTTATTCCAGTTCCTCCCACCCCCAAACACCCCCCCAATCCATTCATAATAAGGGGAAAGGTTATTCAGTCAGTCTTTAAAGTTGATTGATGTAGTGAGGATTTCTCCACTTCATTTCAAACTCATTTATGAGAGTGAAAATCAAAGCTGGAGGAGACCTTGCATTTCCTAACACTGGTTGGTGTGTGTGTGTGTTCTTTCTCCCTTTGCTGAGGCACCATGTTCATTCATGAGCAGCTGTGTTGCCATAGGATTGGCGGGGAGAATTGCTGGGGGTTGAAGAAGGGGAAAGTGTGATGGATTTTAAAGCTTCTGACTTGCGAGGAGCAGAATTCGTGATCTAAATATAGCCTCCTCTGAGTTGGAGGGTTAGAGATGAAGCGAGAGACTAGCCCCTTGGTTTTGAAGCTGGGTTTCACTGGCTTTCGATCGCTGAGACCCTCATTTTTCCTTCTGTGGTTTAAAACTGGGGGCTGCGTTTAGAGTATTGATTGGAAAGAGTTAAGCACAAAACAGTGAGATCTTGGGTGCATTTGCACCTTGCGCTAAGCCACGGTTAATGGTTTCCTCTGAACGTGCTGATCAATTCTACATCGCTTCCCCTTCCTCCCCTTACAACATGAGAGCAGCAAACCAAAATCCGCGGCCTCACATTAGGTCCAAACCGTGAGTTGCGGTTTCTTTTACAAACCACCATTGGTAAGCCATGACTTTTCGTCCTAGTTTGGAGCAAAGCAAATCAGATTTGATGTCATGCTGGACTAAGGATTCTAAGAATTGGGGTTTGTTGCTCTGAGTCACTAGCAAGGAGGAGCAGAACAGAAGCAATTGGCACGTTCCCAGTAAATCATTAGCCATAGCTTTCATAACCCACAACTGTAGCAGATAGGGATAACAGCAGGCATTCTCTTCAGGGTTGGCTATATTTCTCTATCAGAAGTGATTGAATGATCTGATCACAGGCAGTGCAGGGGCAGAATGGAATTGGGCAACACCCTCACCCCAGTTGAGTCCAATTGCTCATGCGTTGCCTCCTTCCCATGACTCATGCAGAGACACAACGGACAGCCTCCTGCTCACGGCTGGCAGTTCTGCAGCCCTTCTGCATTGAGAACAGTTGTCAAATCCAGTTGATGTAGAGATGGTGCAGAATTTTCCACTGCGAATGGAAGGAGGTAAGGCCAGGGCAGAAAGTCATTTGGAGCTTAGCGATATCTTGGTGCGTGCTTGTGAGTCCTGGGACATGATTTAAGTGTGACTCATTTGGACCATGGCCCCATCAGGTGGACATCTCAGCATGGAAAAGAGCCATTCTTACTGATAGATCATCTGCTTGCATATAGTAGGTCTCGAATCCAGTTTCTGGCGTTTCCAAAGAGGGGGCTGCTGGGAAAATATTTTTGCCTGAAACCCTGCCTGCCAACCAGTCATACCTAGGAATAGAGGAAGTTGCCTTAGATACATTTGTCCATCGAGCCCAGTATTGTCCACATGGGCTGGCAGTCTCTCTCAGCCTTATGTGGAAGTGCCAAAAGACCTAGGCGTGTAGAGCAGTGCTGCTTCATGACTTCCTTCATTGTTTTTCTTTGGCTAGAATGTGTCTGTGATCGTTCCTCTTGCTTGCCTGGAAAGGAGTGTGTGTGCTGAAACTAGCTTACTGGACAAAAGGTAAATCTTACGCTTCTGGCATGTGGCCCCGAGGAGGTTCCCCAGAAAGGAATGTGGCCCTTGGCCTGAAGAAGGTTCTCTACCCCCCTGGGGTAGACAGTGTTGAGCTAGGTGGAACAATGGTCTGACTACAAATGATGCATCACTGGCTGTTGAATGAAGCATTTGCTGTGTAATCTTCTAACAGCCTCTGGAACGGAGGAATCTCACCACTATTGAGTCTGGAAGGGAAAATAAATCCATGAAAGAGAGTGTCTCTGCTTTAGCCGTCACTGATAATGATACAGCAGGCCATTATTTTTTCACCCCTTGTTCGTTTTCCAGGTCATTCTTGTTCAGCCAAGTAAGGACAGAGTATAATAGTCAGGCCGGCAGTGTCCCTGGTTTCATATTCTATTTTTTGACAGCAGCTGGTTCCAAACTGGGATTTCCCAAAGCTTGGGAGTGGAGGCGGGGAAAGAAGGGGAGGGGGGACAGGTTGGGAGGATTGATGGGACGGCTTGGCAACCCCCCAAGCCCACGGGGGGGGGGGAGACGTATCTGTTGACCCTTTGCTAAGTCATAGGAGGCTTGTCAATGGGCAGCCAGGCAGCTGGGAAGGGGCATCGTAGCTGTGCTATGCTATGCATGCAGAAGAGCCTTGGCATTTCCAGCTGAAAGGAGCTCAGGAGGAAGTGGAACCTGGAAATAAGTTCTTCCTGGGACCTTAAGGAGACTCTGCCACAGAGAATAGACAGGCCTCCCCACCCCCACATGCTTTGGACCAGGCATCCCCCAACTCGGCCCTCCAGTTCTTTTGGGACTACAACTCCCATCATCCCTAGCTAACCGGAGCAGTAGTCAGGGATGATGGGAATTGTAATTTGGGGGGGGGATTTTCCCCCCTAAAAAGCTGGAGGGCCGTTTGGGGATGCCTGCTTTGGACTATGTCAGCTTTGGCTAGCATGCCCAGCAACCAGGGATGATGGGAGTTGTATTTCCAGCAACACTTGTGGAGGGCATCAGATTGGGTGTGAAAGACTGGACAAGGTGAACTTTCGGTCTGATCTGTCTGGGCTTTTCAACACAATTCTGAAAGTTGAGCTGAGAGCCAGTGTTTTTTAAAAAAAGGAGTTAGACCAGGTGTGGGCATGAATCCGCCCTTGAGGCCGTTTCTCCGTTGTCTCCGTCTCCAGCCTGATGCCATGTGCAGTGTCAGATGGGGGGGCATGTAAGTTGTTCCTTTGCAGGCAGGGCTTGCTGATTGGCGCAGAAGGCGAGTCCTTCTCAGATCAGCTGCACCAGTGGAGCTGGGGCATCTCGCTGTCAGCACGGACCAGCTGATCAGCTTTATCATCATCCCTTTTGAAGGTGTGTGAGCCCTGCTTTGCCCACTCGCAGGTCCAGTCTGAACCCAAACCGCACCTGCAAACAAACATCCAAGGAGCTAACTGCTTGGTGGTTTTGGCAAACAGCTTTGGAATTGTCACCTGATGTCGTAATGATGCCTGATTTGGCCCACGGGAAGTTGGTCAAGGGTAGGATCTGGTCAGCCTTGTGGATCTGGGTCATAATGCTTGGGAGGTTATGTCCATCAACAGGTGCGTTACATGACAGCTCAATGGACTTCCCATAAGCATCTTTCTGGCCACTGTAGGAACTACAAGGCCCGTTGGCCTAATCTGGAAAGATCTTCTCGAGGTCTTAAACATGGTTTCTTGAGAGAACTGGGGAAAGTGAACTTCTGAGTTGGAGATGAGCTGAAGAAAACCATCTGTGACACCAACAACCTGAAGAATAATGTGAGGTCAAAGGGTCTGTCAAATCTAACATGTTGTTCCTTTGTGAGGCTTAAGGTTGTATCCCATTTCCCTGAGACAGGGGACGTGTGATCCTCCAGTTGACTACAGCTCCCCTCATTCCTGATGGTTGGCCATGTGGCGAATGGAATGGAGTATCTTGGGAAAGGGTGTGACTGGCTTGCTGGAAGGCCGAACAGGAGCACTCCATGGCACAGTGTTTTGTTTGGGTTCATCTTCAAAGTCCAATTAAAGTTTCCTAGCCTGCCAGTCGCCGTGTATCTACGTAACATTGGTCACAGCAAAAGGTCCAAAGTGGGAAGGAGGCGGCCCTCTTCAGTTTTACAAAAGCTTGCTTACCTGGTCACCTGGGGTGAACTTTATTTCATCCCAGGCGAATAGCTTCTGCCAAATCCCTATTGAAACAAACCAACCTTTCCTTCTCTTTCTGACCTCCTTGTCTCCTGCCAGAGCTGGGTCCCATTCTCTCAGCCCCACCCATGCAACCACCAGCTTCAGACCTGGTCAAAAACAAAAATTAGGACACCCCATTTGGCCCAGATTAAGCAGGCGCCGCCCAGGGAATGTGTCCTGTTGTGCAATCGGTGCTTGTACAATGAGCTAATGATTGTGGGTCCTCCTGCTTTTCCAGTAGCTAAAATATAATGTAATGTTTAAACTATGTTGCCGTGTCTCTTGGTTGTGTTACAGTGGGGGGGGGGATGAACATAGCAGGACATGAGCCCGTCAGTTGCTAAACATCTCTGCCAGTTGATCTTCGGCCCAGACAACCACCTGTTCTCTCTTCCAAAAGGTCCCCTAAGGACATTTGACTTCCCTGAGGCCCTTTCAAAGTGTTACTTAGCTTAAGGGAATTGGATTTTACATTCTTCAAAGGAGATGGCTCTGTCACTATTTTCAAGAGGACTCTCTGGGTGTTCGGGGAGAATTCCCCCGCCCTTCTCTCTCCCCCCAGCCCTGCCTTAAGGAAGCACATAGACTTGTTTACAGCAGGGGGCATTAACCTCTGGCGTTTCTGGGACTACCAGAAGACCCACACCACACACTTAAAAGCACAGCCTGGATAGCTCGGCTGGTTAGAGCGCGGTGCCGATGAAGGCCAGATTGCAGGTTCGATCCCTGTATGGGACAGCTGCATAGTCCTGCTGTTGCAGGGGGTTGGACTGGATGATCCTCAGGATCCCTTCTAACCCTACAATTGTGCGACTCTGTGATCCAGTGCACATTCAAAGCACATGGCTTCTCCCCTCCGCCGTCCCACAAAACCCCAAGAATACTGGGAACTGTAATTTGTTCAGGATACTGGGAATTGCATTCTATGAGGGGGAATCCCAGAATTCATCTAGGGGTGTCACACACTTTAAATGGGGATTGTATGTGCTTTAAGTACATGGTGCGGCTCCTTGACCATTGGGCTGATGGGATTTGGAGTCCAAAATCATCCGAGAAGCATTACAATTCTCACTTTTGTTTGATGGGTTCAGCCATTCAGCCATACCTGAGAGAGAGAGAGAGAGCCCTTCCGCTCCCTTTGCTGCCAAAGTAACTTCTTCGTTAAGTTGTGCTGTGCCAATTTTTGGATGCCTTTCAAGGATGTCCTAATTTTTTGTCCTAATTTTTTGTTCTAATTGAATGTTTCCTTTTGGGTGTTCATAGTGCTAAAAATATACAAGGATTTTTAAAAAATAAATTAAAAAAACCCTTTCCACACCACCCTAATAGTTTGTCTGAAGAAACTTATTGTCTCAACCTTGTAAAACTGGTGTTCATTCTACACTGCGTCCTGGGTGGGCTCTCGTTTCTCTCTCTGGAACTCGTAGAACTTTCCTTCAGCACTTAACAGACCCTGGGCTGTTGCGTTCCTTTGAGAGCAAGGCGGCAAAGGCACAAAGAGGTATATTAAAGCTCAGTTGGGAAAATTGGTTTATTCGGTTTTGGGTTGAATTTATCTGGTGTTATATTTATAATGCAGCAATTATATTTTTGAAAAGTCTGCCTGTTTACTCCAGGACAGAAAGGATGGGAGGAGATCCCAATTGCCTGGTCAGCCAAGCACCTAAAAACATGCCTAGGAATTTTAAGGGTTAGGGCTCGATCTGCTTGGGTCTTGCCGCTGAAAGTGCTGAAATGTTCCTCCGGCTTGCTGGGAGTGTGGGGGAGAAGGGAGTACGTTGTTGGGGTGTTGGTGGTTTGTTTGTTTGCTTGCTTGCTAGGTTTGTTTGGTTTGTTTCTCTTAATAAACCTGTATTTCAGCTTGTTTTAAAGTGTGGCTTTGGTGATAAACATGGATTTAGTGATAAGACGGTTTGTTTCCTAAGAAAATCCTGCTTTTTAAGTTGCTATAAACCACTTGGTTCTTTCAACTTTGCTTGGATAAGCTTGCTATAAAAGAAGATCAATGTTGGTGGAACAGATGGCATGGGAGATAACGTGCTTGCTGGTGGTGGTCTGTGCAGAGCCAAAGGGAAGAACTAGTGGAGCCTGTTATACTCCAGGGAGGGGGGACCTGTGGACTCCATTAGCCCCAGCCAGCAGGCATGATGGGAGTTGTAGTCCAGCAACATCTGGAGGACCACAGGTCCCCCACACCTCCCCTGGAATTTTCCCTGTAACCCCCTGCAGTGTGGAAAACTGGTGGATCTCATCCCTGGTGGATGAGTCCATGCATATTCCCTGAAAGACAGGGCGTTAATTTTTTTTTAAAAAATGCTATAGAATTAAATACAGACGGTCATTTACCCTCGCTAGATTCAACGTGCTGCCATCTGCCTTATTGCAGGGCAGATTCGAGGGTAAACCATACGTGGAACGAGTCTGCCCCTGTGGCTTGATGGAGGTAGAAACTGTCTCTCATGTCTTGTTACGCTGCTGTTTCTACGCAGCAGTATTTATCACTCCTGTTATACAAAATCTCCAAATGGGTCCGAATTTCAATGTCTAAAACTCATGGTAGGGGACAAGGATCTAGAGATCATGTTAAGGGTGGCCAAATTCTGTGCGACTGCCATAAAACTTAGGGAACAAGCTGTACTACCAAAATCATTAAGGTTTTAAATGATAATTTCAGGTTATATTTTGCCGCTATATCTGAATTGTCTCTGTTATACCCAATTGCAATTCAATGTATTCCTGTTGTGTTTTATGATTTTCCTGATATTGTAAGTGAGCCGGAACTGGTCTGTGACTGTAATAATAAAATTCTATTCTATGCTATAGAATTATGCTTACAACTAAGGTTCCCCCCCCCCTGAGTCTTTGCCCTGAATATGGGTTACTCATGGAAAGCTATTATCCTCTTGCCGCTCTCTGTTTTTAGTGGTTTCCGTTGGTAGCAAGTAACTCTCGAAGCACCAGAAGGGATTTGGAAGGCAAAGCTGAAAAGTCAGGAGATGTTTGATGCAGAAAGGGATTCATGTTTGCCTGTCGTTGAGGTCAGGAAATGAGACTCTCCTCTGGGTGTCCTCATCACCCGAGAAACTCTTTCAGGGCAGCCTCGTTTGTGGAACTACCCACCACCACCCAACAGGTCCACGGTGGGGATTTCAACCTGGGATTCCCTGCACACCGATATAGCACATCTTGGCTGTTGAATAAAGCCAGCTGTCCGTGTATCAGAAAGTTGCACGGCAATTGGCACCCGCAAAATTAGGACTTTGATTTAGAGAGTCCTGAGGTCGTGGTTGGAGTAAGACGTTCGATTTGGGAAGTTTGATCCGGAGGTGTTTTCTGGTGTATATGATCAGATTTTGCAGAAAGTAGTTGGTTCGTGTGACTTTCTGCTCTCAGCCTTAGTTCAGCCTCCATCAGCTTCTGCACTCCTTCGGGTGCAACTCCCATCAGAGTGCATGAGCTGGGGAATTTGAAGTTTAGACCAGGGGTCAGCAACCTTTTTCAGCCATGGGCCGGTCCACAATCCCTCAGACCATGTGGTGGGCCGGACTATATATATATATTTTTTTGGGGGGATGAATGAATTCCTATGCCCCACAAATAACCCAGAGATGCATTTTAAATAAAAGGACACATTCTACTCATGTCAAAACACACTGATTCCCGGATCGTCTGCGGGCCGGATTGAGAAGTCGATTGGGCCAGATCCGGCCCCCGGGCCTTAGTTTGCCTACCCATGTCTTAGATCTTAGGCAATCAATAGAAAAATCATGGGGTGTTTGGGGGGGTTGCGTTTTTGGGGTTTGTCTGAAAAAAGATACTCTGCAACTTGTTTTCTGGGTTTCCCTAAGAAAAACGCTCCACAATTTTGGGGGATCTCTAAAAAGAATACAGTGGTGCCCCGCAAGACGAATGCCTCACAAGACGAAAAACTCGCTAGACGGAAGGGTTTTGCGGTTTTTGAGCTGCTTCGCAAGACGAATTTCCCTACGGGCTTGCTTCGCAAGACGAAAACGTCTTGCGTTTTTTGCAAGTTTGTTTCCTTTTTCTTAACACCGTTAATACAGTTGCGACTTGACTTCGAGGAGCAACTCATAGAACGCGGTGTGGTAGCCTTTTTTGAGGTTTTTGGTGATTTTTGAAGCTTTTCCAAAACTTTTCCGACACCGTGCTTCGCAAGACGAAAAATTCGCTAGACGAAAAAACTTGCGGAACGAATTAATTTCGTCTTGCGAGGCACCACTGTACATGGCAACCCTACTTTAAGAGCCCCCATCAGCAAATGATTCTGTGTTGTGAAAAGCTGCAATTTGCTAGTTTGGGCTGCTGCTGCTGCTGCTGCTGCTGCTGCTGCTGCTGCTGCTGCTGCTTTGGAGGGTTTTACTCTGGCAAAGTGGCAGTCCAAGGATCAGTCCAGGAAGAAATGCACCCTGCCTCTTTTCTGCACCATTGAACAGACAGTCCATTTCCCTTCCCTTAAACCTGACGGTTCGCATTTCTCAAAGCTCTTTTTGATTTGATCCAACCTAAACCAGGTTGCCTACCCCTGGTTTAGACACTGCATGAGTTGGGGAAACATAGTGAACTTTGGCCTTACATTTACTTCTCCAGGTGGCCTTGTGCTGTCATGAGGACTAGTGTATCTCACCTTTACACTGACCCTTTTTAGATGAGACTTGGGATATTTGATCATACAATATATGGATAAGGGCTCCCTCTGGTGGTTACCATGTATAACATGTAGCCCAATTGAACTTGCAGAAGATGCCGGTCCTCATGGATCTGAATTAAGGGCTGATTTAAATCAGAACATAGGAAGTCATCTTATACAGGCCACTGATCCACCGACCCCAGTATTGTCTACACTGACTGGCAGTGTCTCTCCAGGGTTTCAAGCTGGGGAAATTCCCGGTCCTGTATGGAGATTTTGGATATTGAATCAGAGACCTTATGAACGCAGTGCAAATGCTCCCCCACTGAGCTACATTCCTTGCTCTGGAGAGGGTGTCAAGTGGAAATGTGGACCCCTGGCCGAATCATCTCACGCTAGAGTCTTGTTTTTGCTGTCGGGCAACTTTTGGCTTAACAGCTTTGTGAGTTTTGCGTCTTGTCTCTTTTGAAGATAGGTCCCCATAAGTGACTGATCTATGAAATGGCAGAGAATGGAACAGACCTGAGGCGCATGGCAATGAGCAAAGAGCAGCACAATGGAAACTTCACAGGTGAGACAGTGAACTGGGATAATGCCTCTTGCTTGCTTGCATGCATGTATATTGAGGGAGGGGGTATAGAAACCATAGTTTAGTTTTGTTTTTGCATGGTTGGATTGTAGCCTACTGTGCAAATATAAGAGTCTCATCTGCTGTTCTGCCCTGGTTTTGTTTTGTTTTGTTTTTTTGTTTGTTTTGCTTCTGGCCCCACCCACCACGGTCATGACACTAAAGGAAATTGGGATGTGGCAGGAGGAGGAAATTTCTCAGATCTTAAACTTCAGTAAATATCTGTATTAGCTTCGATACTTTTAGTTGAGAGGATCTGAACACTATTGAGGTGACAGTTGAGTTACTTCATTCTGATTGCTTGTGTTAGACCTACTTTTACTTATTTAGGTAATTGATGTACTGCTTAACTATAAAGACGCAATACAAGAAATCAGTTAAAACTATAAAATCAAACTTCAGGTAGATTCCCCACCCCTGATTTATCTCAGCACTGTCCTGCTGTACTTGATAGCAGTTTTT